ACAATATCTCATCTAAATGACTGCACTAATTTCTAAACTGTGCTTTTAATCTTTCCTCCAAACACTTCCTAAAACACTATTTGGTTCACATTATGATCTCATCAAAAAGACTTTAATGATTTTAATTTTTAAAGCAGAGATATCTAAAATTAAGTTTACAGACTTCTTATTAAACTATAAACTCTTTCAGGAAGGACAAGGACTTCTGTGTATTTGTATTAGCTTTCCTTGAAGCACACGGCATACACCAGAAGCTCAATGAATATTTCCTCCAAAAAAATTATTAAAATGATGATCTCATCTAAAAGTATGTTAAGAATATGATAACTATTTTTAGCATGTTAAGTTCTTCAAGGATACTTTTATTTATTTATTTATTTAATTAATTAATTTTTAAATTTATATCCAAGTTAGTTAGCATATAATGCAGTAATGATTTCAGTAGATTCCAGTGATTCATCCCCTTTGTATAACACCCAGTGCTCATCCCAACAAGTGTCTTCCTTAATGCCTCTTACCCATTTAGCCAATCCCCCCACCCACAATCCCTCCAGCAACCCTCAGTTTGTTCTCTGTATTTAAGAGTCTCATGTTTTGTCCCCCTCCTTGTTTTTAATTTTTTTTTTCAACGTTTATTTATTTTTGGGATAGAGAGAGACAGAGCATGAACGGGGGAGGGGCAGAGAGAGAGGGAGACACAGAATTGGAAACAGGCTCCAGGCTCTGAGCCATCAGCCCAGAGCCTGACACGGGGCTCGAACTCACGGACCGCGAGATCGTGACCTGGCTGAAGTCGGACGCTTAACCGACTGCGCCACCCAGGCGCCCCCCCCTCCTTGTTTTTATATTATTTTTGCTACCCTTCCTTTATGTTCATCTGTTGTATCTGAAAGTCCTCATGAGTGAAGTCATATATTTGTCTTTCTCTGACTACTTGAAGCATACACAGAAGCTCAATGATTTTCCTCAAAAAATTATTAAATAGTGATCTCCATCTAAAAGTATGTTAAGAATATGATAACTATTTTTAGCATGTTAGTTCTTCAGGATACTTTTTTTATTTATTTATTTAATTAATTTTTTAAATTTATATCCAAGTTAGTTAGCATATAATGCAGTAATGATTTCAGTAATTCAGTGGTCATCCCCTTTGTATAACACCCAGTGCTCATCCCAACAGATTTAAGGCTCCTTCTACATCCCATTAGCGCTAATCCCCCACCCAGCAATCCTCAGCAACCTCAGTTTGTTCTTCTCTGTATTTAAGAGTCTCATGTTTTTTGTCAGCCCTCCTTGTTTTTTTCAAGTTTTTTTTCTTTAACTTTATTGCGGATAGAGAGAGCGTGAGCATAGAAGGGGAGGGCAGAGAGGAGGAAACTAGGTGGAAACAGGCTCAGGCTCAGGCCATCAGCCCAGAACCCTGACGGCTCGAACCCTGGACATGAGATCGTGACCTGGCCGAAGTCGATGGGCACATACCGCACTTCGCCCCCAAGGCGCCCCCTCCTTGTTTTTATAATTGCATTTCTACTCTGCTCACTTTATGTTCATCTGTTGTATCTGAAAGTCCTCATGAGTGAAGTCATATATTTGTCTTTCTCTGACTAATTTCACTACATAATACACCCTCTGTCCATCCATCAGTTGCAAATGGCAGATTTCATCTTTCTTTATTTATGATTGTTAGAATTGCCATATTGTATATATATCATCTTCTTTATCATTCATCCATCGATGGACATTTTGGGCTCTTTCCATACTTTTGGCTATTGAT